TTTTAAACTAATCTAATTAGCTTATTATAAGAAAAGGACTGTTATTATTTTTTTCGATGATAATAATAGAAAAATAATGGGAATAAAGATGCCTGCAGATTTCTTTATGTAGAGTAATATATTTTTATTAAAATTAATTTCATAATCGTTAAATTTAATAAAAAAAAATTATATTTGCATGAGGTTTGCATATTTCATAAAAAGCATGTGCATATTTGTATCCTATAAAATAATTTGTTAAAATTCTACAGGGTATTTGAATGGGCTCCAGACTTGCTTGTTTGGGGGCTTGCTTGTTATTTCATAAAATAACAAGGAAATATTTATATCACATACAACAATGCCTTTAATACGTCAATTCACCAAGTGCACATGATATATATATATATTCTCTTTTTCGAGCTTTTATAAAAGGAGAGTCATACAAACCATTTAGTAGGAATGAAACTTTTTTACAGCTCTCAGCTGATATTATGGATGATACATCATAATGTTGTGCTGCCGTTTATTTACTTTCTTATACAACTGAAATGAGTTTTAAAATATTTATTCCTCTTCTTGAATTTATTTCATAGCTCTAAAATTATTTTTGATTATAATTTTGGCAAAATAAATAGTTTGTTTTGAGAAGGAAAAATTATAATCTCAATTGATTTTATCCATTTCTATTTTAGAATAATGTCCTATTTATCCAGGAAACATCATAAAAAAAGTACAAGCGGTTTTATGATTTTAATGTACGAAATTAACTTGAAAAAAAATTTAGGCTTTCAGTTATGGAACTATTTCGTCTACAAATGCATGAGAGACTTGTGAAATTTAAGTGTCTGCAAAGCGATTGTGCAAAAAATGTGCCATTGAATGTATTGTTCCTTACCTTGCTAAAGAAAGTTTAGAGAAATAAGATGGTTCCTAGCACTTATAAAAGATGCTGAAACAATCGAAAACTGCGTTTAAAAACTTAAAAATGCAACTTCTGTGTAGTCAGTGCTTGAAAGTAATATTTGAAATCTCTCCTGCAAAATTTTGATTAAAAATACATATCAGTTAATTTGCATCAGACGAGTATCGATTTCTTATTCTAATAGCACACTGGAAAACATATTATTTATTGACATATTTCTTTCTTTTCCAGAATGAAAAGAAATTTGCTTCATACATTTGTAATAAAATGAGTCAAAAAACTGTCGTTGTGCTGAAGCCTATTTTATTTTTACTTATTTATTTATTTATTTGAAATTGGAACACCATGGTTCTGCCCAGAACGGTGAAAAAATTGTTTAGTCGTGCAATTTTTTTTAATCTTTTTGAAGCATGTGTACATTACAATTATCAGGAATCTACTACCAAAATGCACTTAAATTAACGATACTTGCACATTGATTTAGTGAATACTGTATCTTTTTGTTATTCGATAATATCAAGAATACATTTTTAGAACTGGGAAAGAAAATTATATTTCGAATTGAAAGAAAGTATGAATTTCATAAATTTTTTGCATTTTACAAAATATTTAAGAATTAATAAAGCAATACTGAAAAAAAATATGAAAAGATATTAAAACACAAAGTAAATGGTAACAAATGGCCCAGATATAAAATAATTTTGCTTTTTTATAATACTTATTTCATCAATTCTTTTTTATTTGTCCCCAAATTGATTTCTTTCTCAATGTCTTTTTGCTCCGAAAGTGAATACGAAATCATACGATTGGTATCATTGACAGTGACAAGAATAATATTACTACATTTGTATTAATTAGGGAAATATGAGCCAGTTCCACTTAAAAAGTTCTCAGTTGAAGCTTTACTGCTCTTAGGCACGGAGCCAAGAGTATTAATTACGAGATTAACATCACTGGAAACGTAAATCACAACAGTAAGCATTCATTGTTATTGATGCCTATTAAAACATATAATATTATGATAATTATCTCAAAAAGTGATACGCCCACCAACGGCCAAGCAGTAAAATTGCTGAACATGAGTAGTTCGGTTCGAATCCCAGCGAACGGGCTGGCTGCATGGACATTTTCGTGATTTTTCCATTGTGTAACATGTATAGAAGACATTTTCTCTTAGACAGTTCTCCATGAAGGCCTCCCTCCTTTGGCAGATAGCCTTCGAGCGCTTTTCAAATAAACCAAACCAAAGAGAAATATTTCAAACAAAGCATAGATATTAAATTTTAAATAATCCTATTTTGTTCTTAGGCTGTGAAATTATTTGAGTGGACGTGAAGGAAAGATGCCATAAAAACTGCACATAAATTGTTAATAAGATGTGAAAACTGATTTCAAGAAATACATGCATATAATTGGCCTTTTTAGTAAAAGAATCATAAGTATTAACTAATGAATTTAAAAATAAAGGGTAATAAGTACCTAATTTAACATAGTTCATCAGTCCTCAGTCATGAATAACGTCCACTAGCGGGCGAGCAGTAACGTCACTGATCACTAGTAGTTTGATCTGGAATTAAGTTTTCCCACTTGTAACGTGAATACGAGCCAGTTTTCTTTAAAAAGTATTCCAAGAAGGCATCCCTTCCCATACAGAGACAGCCCTCCTTTGTTTTAATTAACAGTAGCCGTAAATAACAAATTGTTTTCCCATCCCCCAAAGTCCTCCATGAAAGTTAAAGTTGTCTATCTTTACCTGAGCATCTAATTGTGTCATTTCAAATCTTGATATAGGCAAATAATCGGAAATTCTTATCTTTTTCGAAATTTTTTGCATCACCCAGATCACCATCATATTTTTTCCACCTTTGTATAATGCTTGCGAGGATTTTATAAAAAGCTATTTACATGTCTTTTCTACTAACAACTATTTTTCATAATTATTTACTCTTACCTGCTGAGAATTTTATGTCCCAACCGTTTCGAAATTTGAAAATAAACACATCTTCATAACAGTAAAATATTCATAGTCAAATATCGTCCGGACCCTTTTATTCGATAACATTTTCAGTAAAACGGAAGTAATTTTCTTAGGGTAAAAAATGCATCATACAATTTCATGTACTTTCACTACCTTATTTTATAAACGCCAAAAGCAATCTAATCAAATACGATATTATTTGCGAATGATTTTCACATCATGCCAAGGAAGTTTCTCAGTAGTTCGTTTTAAACGAGAAATGAGAAGAGTAAAACGAATTTTTCTTTAAGGAAATGCACCTTGTCCTCATATTTCAATAATAAAATGTTCATACTTCACATTCACACAACTAAATGAATTTCAATACAAACACATAAATGACACATTAGTTTGAAACGGGATTACAAGATTTGAACTCTTTCAAAAATCTCATTTTTATTTCAGAACAATTATTCAAATTATATATTGAAGTAACTCTTTTTGTGAACTGTTATAATAATTTTTAAAAATACAGTATTTTTAATCAATACACACAGCTAAAACAAAAATTATATCAAATTTCTCTGCTTCTACAGTCATAAATACCTGTTTAAGTATTTATTCTATGCTAAAAGAAATTATTTGTAAATTAGGTGATGCCGAATTCTTTAAAAATTATTCATGGATTCCGTGCAAATTACATTTACTTTTGCAGAAGAAATTTTGCTTCGCAAATTTTTCACATACATAAAGGTTTGCGTTGAAGGCTTTCCAGTATTTTCCAGTTTCAGCACGAAAATCGCCCTCAGGTCGGCAGATGGTACGGCTGGATTTTATGTTTTTATCTATGACCCTCCCATTGTCCATCTGTCTTTGTCTAACGATCGCTGTTTCCCCACTACCAATTAAGCGCGACAGGAGGTCGGAGGGAACGACAGTACAGAATATTCCGTCATCAATGATTTCAAGACGGAAAATGTAAGGCAGAAAAAATCGTTTGAAACGCTTTCAGATTCATCAAAAGCTAGCAAAGTAATCCGTGTGAGGCAATTTGGAAAGCCATCTTTCAATACGGAAAAATCTGTTCGTAACACTGAAAGGGTTAAGCTACTACAATATATGGGTACCCAATACCTTAAGAAACCAGAATATGCTTAATTGAGCTTGGCATGTGATTCTTTGATGAAAAAATAAATGAAGAAACCCCCCCCCCGTTTTTTTTGGGGGGGGAATGGCTCATTATTGGAGATGAAAATGGGATACTATACAATGTTACTACAAAAAGATCTTGCTGTAATCTGAAAGAACCTCTTTTAGAAACATTGAAAGGGTCTACATCCCAAAAAAGCAATGCTTTGCATATGGTAAGACTACAGAGGAATTTTACTGTATGAAATGTTGTCACCAAATCAGATAATAAATTCAGAAAAATACTGTTCCCAAATGGCAGGTTTAAAAGCAAAAATCCGTGCAAATCACCTAAAACTGACCAGTCTTCAAGGTGATGTCTTCCATCATGACAATGCCCAGCACATTTTGATGAATGTTAAAAAAAAACTTTTTGAGTATGGGTGGGATGTTTCGTGTTGACCCCTTTATTCCCTAGACCTTGCTTTCTTGGATTTTTATCTCCTCAGGTCACATCAAAATTCCCTGATAGGTCTGTTGTTCACTTCTTTGGTGACTGTTGAACTGCATGTCATTAATGGCTTCGCTGAAAGAGGAATTTTCAGACTACCTGAGAAATGGCAAAAAAAAACGTTGTAGACTAAATTAGTGCTTTTGTGATTCTGGGAAAGTTTCTTATGTTTTTGTACTACTTCATTTATATTTATCATAAAAAAGGGGGGGAAAACGACACAACTTTTCAGATAACTCTAATAAACATAAAAAATTATTCAGTTGTTCATACTTAATTTGATACCTAGTTCATTATGTTGGTAGGGAAATTGTTGCATATGGTTGTGAAAAATCAAGGAAATAAAGAAATGAATTTTAGTGGTAATTTTTAGAACTTTTTAAAAATGATTAAGAAAATGCAAACAAAATTTTGTAAAAAATCTATATTAGCAAAACTTTTAAAGTAATTTATATTATCTGTTCACATTGTTGAATGCTTATTGTCTTCTTTCAATGTAGGGAAACTGTAGAATTTTGCCAGAGAGCTGAAAAAGCTGGTGCTTCATGGATCAGTGTTCATGGAAGAACTAAAACTCAAAGAAATGAAGCTGTAGATTTAGATGGCATTAGAATAATTAAAGATAGTTTGAATATTCCTGTTGTTGGTAATGGAGACATCTTTAATCTAAGAGATGCTGTTAATTTTCAAGAAAAGACTGGGGTAAATGGTAAGGAAAAATATGTTTTTAATTAGCACCCAATGCACTGTAAAATATTTGTGCTCACATGCTAGACAGTTTGTTTCAATGATTGAAAATTTACAAGTAAGTAAAAAATGTGGCTTCTAACTACTGTACTGCATTTTCTGAAATATTTTAAAAGTATACTTCACAACAAGCTAACTTGACAACACTCACAAGCTAGAACAACTCTTTCACTCTGTTCTTCAAATTGTCCATATGTGAAAAACTGCCCTTGATGTCTCATTCCTTCAGTTTGCTGCACATTTGGTGATTTCTTTCCAAACCCAACTTAATTAACAATACTTTTATGCAATGGAGGTGTGGTTGGACCTGATAGTTAATTGTAGGGCAAATTACCTGCATGTTTTTCCTTATTATGTTTGCTTATTTTATGTTGAATTTTTCAGTATTATCTAAATATATATGAATTTGATAATGGTTAAAAACTGAATCGTCATGTAAATTTCAAATGGAAAAAGCTGACAATATTGTTGCGTGCGTACGGGTTCGTTATGAAATGAATGCACAAGTCCGATGAAAAATGAACAAAAAAAATTTATTATTATCATAACAAATAAAACAAAATGCTTAAATTTTCCTCAAATTATTCATGCAGTATTTACAATATCTCACAGTAGTTATCTTTTAACTACTCAAATGTCCAATAGAACGCAATTCAAAACAGCTAAAGGAAACGCTAATCCGCGAATTCGCTACAATCAACAAGAGCAGTTTTCTAAACAAACAACCTAGAACTAAGCAACTAACTACAAACTTGAGATGGTTTTCCTCCTTTTATAAGATTTTAAAATCACGCGCTAGAATTTTCCAGTACTTTCTCGAAATCAAAAAGAGATATTTATTTATTTAATGCACGCGCTCTTTGTAATTTCAATTTTAACGGCTTAGCTTTCTTTTAATATTCGTCATGCGCTGCACTGCGCGAGAAATAAAACATTTAATTTGTAATTGAACTAACATTAGCTTTTTAAATAATACCAAATTCGTAACACTGCCTGCCCCCTTCCCAAGGACTGCACGTCCCGGGCAGTACAATCCCTGCACAGGAAGCTAAACTTACAACTGTGGCATAAATGCATTAATAAGCATTACATTACAATAATAAACAACATGAACAATAAATGCAATACATAAAACAAATCAAATACACATTTAAAAACAAAATGGACCATGGTCTTATACTATTTACAATTATTTACATTATGTACTATGGCCATAGTAATGAGCTAACCTGTCGTAATGAACGACTTTAGGTTTAGAGTTCGAAGACTTACGAATCGGAACCACGACGTCATTCAGCCTGTTTAGGACTGTGTACGGCCCATCCCAAGGTGACTGTAATTTCGGACAAAGTCCTTTCCGTCAAGTCGGATTCCACAACCACACCTTGTCTCCTTCGTGGAATTGATGTTCAGTAGCTCTTGTGTCGTATCGGGTCTTCATCTTCTCCGTCGCCAAGTTGATTCGCTCTCGTGCAAAATTGTGCATCACTTCAAACCGGGCCTGGAGATCTTGAATATATTCCTCAGACGATGAAGGAGCATCCGGAGGGCGGCCAAACAATAGATCACAAGGCAGACGAAGGTCACGACCGAAGAGCATCTGTGATGGAGAATAGCCGGTAGTCTCGTGGACAGCACTGCGCGATAAGCCAGTAAAAAGAGTGGTAATTTCTTGTCCCAGTCCTGTTGGTTTCTGGAAACCACTAATGAGAGGTTATTAAGGATGGTTCGATTGAACCTCTCTACCATGCCGTCCGACTGGGGATGCAATGGCGTCGTTTGAGTTTTGTCAATGCCAAGTAGTTTGCATAGTTCTTTGATTACTGCCGAGGCAAAATTCCTTCCCTGATCGGAATGTAACTGAAGAGGCACTCCCGAACCTGGAAATCCAGTGCTGTATATCATTACCTCAGATACTGTTACAGCCTCTTGATCAGGAATAGGATAAGCATTCAGGCCACTTGGTAAAGTAATCAATGACAACGAGTATGTATTTGTTGCCATCAGCAGTTCGTGGCAGAGGTCCCAAGATGTCAAAGGCGATACGTTCAAAAGGCGCACCTATGTTGTAACGTTGCAGACTGCCTCGGCTGCGTTTCCTCGGTCCTTTCCGTTCCTGACCTGCACAGGCATCGCAAGATCGGCACCCACTTTTGCACGTCATTCTTTGCATTATTCCAGTAAAAGCGCTCACGAACTCTCTGTAAGGTCTTCATAATTCCAAAGTGACCTCCTGTAGGGCTGTTATGTAGTTCTTTGAGGACATCAGGAATCCGGGATCTTGGAAGTATCAGTTGCCATCGGAACGTCTTCCCATCATCCGACTTGAATTTCCGGTATAAAGACGCCGTTTCGAATGTGAAGTGAATCCCAGAGTGCCCAGTATTGTTTTGTTGTAGGACTACAGATAGAAATGTCCTGCCATGTAGGTTTTCTGTTTGATGACTCTATTAAATCAAGTATGGGTTTAATGTCGCGGTCTTCCAGCTGGTCTTTCCTGACTTCATCATCACTCCACGGGTCTCGATCAGCCGATGTTGATGTTGTAATTTGTCTTGCGACCGGAGTCAGCAGCTCGTATTTCGCTTCCACCCTGGAACAATATCGGCAGCTTTCTTGGCAAGGTCTTCTAGACAGGGCGTCGGCGTTTCCGTGTGATGATCCCTTACGATGACGGATAGTGATGTCATATTCTTGGAGTCTCTGTATCCACCTGGCTATTTGACCCTCAGGATTTTGAAATTTAAAAGCCAGGCCAATGAGGCATGGTCCGTGCGGAGGAGGAATTTTCTCCCGTATAGATAATGATGGAAATGTTCTACAGCTTTGACTATGGCGAGCAACTCTTTCCTGGTGACACAGTAATTCCTCTCCGGTTTAGACAGGCACTTGCTCCAGTAAGCTACTACACGTTCTTGGCCGTCTATTTCTTGGGACAAAACAGCACCGACACTTTCATTGCTCGCGTCGGTGTCGAGAATAAATGGTCTGTCGAGCTGAGGATACGTCAGGATTGGAGCAGATGTTAAAGCTTCCTTTAAGTTGTTAAATGCATGCTCGCATTCCTTTTGTCCACAAGAATCTTTGCTTGCTCTCTGTCAGCTTGTGAAGGGGTCTTGCGATGGAAGAAAAGTTCTTCACGAATCTCCTATAGTAGGTGCAAAAGCCCTAGGAAGCTTCTCAGCTGATGGACATTTTCGGGACGCGTCCAGGATTTAACCGCTGATACCTTTTCAGGATCCGTGTGCACACCTTCTGCAGAGATGACATGTCCCAGGTAAGTCACTTCCTTTCGAAACAATTTGCATTTAGCGGGAGTCAGCTTCAGATTGGCTTCTTTCAGTTTCTGAAGCACCTTCCTAAGATTTTCTAGATGCTCTTCAAAACTCTTTCCGACGATGATGATATCGTCCAGGTATATCAGGCAGGCTTCGTAGGAAAGGCCTTTCAAAACAGTCTCCATAAGACGTTCGAATGTTGCCGGCGCATTACACAGTCCAAACGGCATCACCTTGAACTGCCAAAGTCCCTTGTCCCGTAGTAAATGCCGTCTTTTCTCGGTCTTCTTCAGGATGGATTTCTACCTGCCAATACCCACTCTTTAAATCAAGTGTTGAGAACCACTTGCTTCCAGAAAGAGTGTCTAGAATGTCATCAATTCTAGGAAGAGGGTAACTGTCTTTCTTCGTAACCTCATTCAACCGGCGATAGTCAACGCAAAATCTTGTTGAGCCGTCTTTCTTTCTGACGAGAACGATGGGAGATGCCCATGGACTCGCTGAAGGCTCGATGACATCGCCTTCTTCCATATCTTTTAATGTTCGCACCTCTTCCTGTTTAGCAAACGGTAGACGTCTTGGATGTTGCTTGATTGGGGGATGATCGCCAGTATCTATTCTATGTTGTGTCAAACTAGTTCGACCCACGTCAGAAGACGAGCGGGAGAAAACAACTTGAAGATCTTTAATGACGCGATCGGCAGCATTTTTCTTCTCTTATCGTTTAATTGCGCATTCTGCAATAACTCCGATGTAATGCTCTCTGAGGACACGGATTCTGGGATGTTACTCTTTTCTTTCAACGCTGGTTACTGGAGTACATGTTGCAACCACTTCACCTTTCTTAATAACTCTCGACCTTTTCAGTTACATTGGCGACTCTCACCGGGATAACCGTTCTGGATAGGTCGACGAGTTTTGAGGCTACTAGTACTCCTTTTGGGATATTACAGTTATTGGGATATTCTATGATGCCGTAGCGGAAATTTCTATTTTCGGCTATGGATCCAGGAAGTAAAATTTCTGTTCTTGCCGGTATTGTGATATAGTCTTGTGCTATGATTTTATGGACAGATTTAACTTCTTCATCATTAATGAGAAATAACGCTATGTCCTCAGATGTAGAGTGCAATTCGTTATTTTTAAAATCCAAGTAAAAATTGTATTTCCTTAGAAAGTCCAATCCGAGTATGCAAGAATCAGTGATCTCTGCTACATATGCCGTGTGATGGTAAGCGGCACTTCCAAACGTGATGTTAACATTTACTTTTCCGTCGATGTCGATCTTCTCTCTCACACCGGACACAGTCTGGAGGGTAACGCAGGGCGGCGTCCAGATAAGTTTGCTTTCCAGTTGTTGAGCCAAATCTTTTCGGATGATGGTGACGTTGGCTCCTGTATCTATAGTCATATTGCACGGAACTCCATTAATATGTCCTATTATGAAAAGTCCATTACTGCTGCTGCCTCTCACTGCAGAAATCTGAAGCGCTTTAAACGGGGGCTTTTCATTATCTGGCAACCTCCGCCCCGCGAGATGGCCACTAATTAGTTTCCCTGCTGCTTGTTAGAAGCGGTCTTAACATCAGTACCCTGGGGTGTTTTGCAGTTTCGTCGTATGTGTCCTTCAGCACCGCAGTTCCAGCACTTAACGGTCGGTTTCTTCTCACCAATATTCCGTCTC